TAATAATATAAAATCAATAAAATCAGGCGACAATCCTCAGCGTTCCCCTCGCATCGCCCTCCCACTCCTTTCCTCCAAAGGTCCATCTACACTGCACACTTAACGCGGTTTGATTGCCTCCCCTTTCACTGCCAGGTGTCAAAGTGAAGCAGCAATCCAGGGAGTTGTAGTTTGGCGAGGGAGCGGCACTCCTGGGCAGAGAAGGCTTCAGTTCCACAGCATTGAGCCAGGTCAGTCCAAGCGGGGCCAAACCGCGTTAATTCTGCGGTGTAGATGCCCTCCCCCGCCGTTCCCTAAGTTCCCCGCGGCCACCTTCGCTCTCTCCCCGCCTGGCTCCCGGCTGCAGGCGAAGGCTCCGCGGCGGTCAAAAGCTGGCGGACCAGCTCCAGGCCGATCCCGCGATTGGCTCCCGTGAGGACGAGGCTGCGCGAGCCCGGACCCGCCGCCATGCCTCGCCGCCGCCCGGCTCCCGGACTCAGAGGCGCCCGCCCCCGATGGACACGGCTGGTTAGGAACCACCGCCTTCGGCACCCTTCGGCACAGCGCCCCTCCTGGCCACTCTCGGGAACTGCAACACTGGGCAAATCATTTCTTAGGTTCTTGTGGGTTTTTTCGGGCCATATGGCCATGTTCTAGAGGCATTCTCTCCTGACGTTTCGCCTGCATCTATGGCAAGCATCCTCAGAGGATGCTTGCCATAGATGCAGGCGAAACGTCAGGAGAAATGCCTCTAGAACATGGCCATATAGCCCGAAAAAACCCACAAGAACCTAGTGATTCCAGCCATAAAAGCCTTCGACAATACATTAAATCATTTCTTCTTCCTCCCTCCCTCCCTCTCTCTCTTTCTCTCTCTTTCCTCTCCCCCTCCCTCCCTCTTCCTTCCTTCCTCCTCCCTTCCTTCCTTCCTTTCTCTTCCTCTTTCTTTCTCTCCCTCCCTCTTCCTTTCTTTCTTTCTTCTCCCTCCCTCCCTCCCTCCCTCCCTCCCTCCCTCCTTTCTTTCTTTCTTCTCCTCTCTCTTTCTTTCTTCTCTCCCTCCCTCTTCCTTCCTTCCTTCCTTCCTTCCTTCCTTCCTTCCTCCTCTCCTCTCTTTCTCTCTCTCCCTTCCTCTTTCTTCTTTCTCTTTTCTTCTTCCTTCTTTCTTTCTTTCTTCTTCCTTCTTCTTCCTTCTCTTTTTCCTTCCTTCCTTTCCTTTCTCCTTCCTTCCTTCCTTCCTTCCTTCCTTTCTTTCTCTTCCTTCCTCTCCTTCCTTCCTTCTGTCCTTCCTTCCCTTTTTTCTTTTCCTTCTTTCTTTATTTCTTTCTTTTCTTCTTTCTTTTCTTTTTCTTTTTCTTTTTTCTTTTTTCTTTTTCTTTCCCCCCCCTTCTTTTTCTTTCTTTCCCTTCTTCTTTCTTCCTTCCCTCCTTCCTTCTTCCTTCCTTCCTTCCTTCCTTTCCTTCCTCCTTCCTTCTTCCTTCCTTCTCCTCTTTCTCTTCCTTCCTTCCTTTCCTTCCTTCCTTCCTTCCTTCCTTTTCCTCCTTTCTTTCTCTTCCTTCCTTCCTTCTTTCCTTCCTTCCCTTTTTCTTCCTTCCTTTCTTTTTTCTTTCTTTCTTCTTCCTTCCTTCCTTCCTCCTTCCTTCCTTCCTTCCTTCCTTCCTTCCTTCCTTCCTTTCTTTCTTCTTCCTTCCTTCTTTCCTTCCTTCCCTTTTTCTTCCTTCCTTCCTTTCTTTTTTCTTTCTTTCTTCTTCCTTCCTTCCTTCCTTTCCTTCCTTTCTTTCTTCTTCCTTCCTTCTTTCCTTCCTTCCCTTTTTCTTTCCTTCCTTTTCTTTTTCTTTCTTTCTTCCTTCCTTCCTTCCTCCTTCCTTCCTTCCTTCCTTTCTTTCTTCTTCCTTCCTTCCTTCTTTCCTTCCTTCCCTTTTTCTTCCTTCCTTTCTTTTTTCTTTCTTTTTTCTTCCTTCCTTCCTTCCTTCTTCCTTTCCTTCCTTCTTCCTTCCTTCTTCCTTCTTTCCTTCCTTCCTTCCTTCCTTCCTTCCTCCTTCCTTCCTCCTTTCTTTCTCTTCCTTCCTTCCTTCTTTCCTTCTTCCCTTTTTCTTCCTTCCTTTCTTTCTTCTTCTCCTTCCTTCCTTCCTCTTCCTTCCTTCCTCCTTCCTTCCTTCCTTCCTTCCTTTCTCCTTTGCTGGATGAAGCTGCTGGGGGAGATCATCCAAGGTTTCGGACTGCGGTGTTATCTCTACGCAGATGATGTCCAGATCTGTCACTCTTTCTCACCTGTCACCAAGGAGGCTGTCCAGACCTTGAATCGGTGTCTAGCTGCTGTGTTGGACTGGATGAGAGCTAACACATTGAAACTGAATCCAGACAAGACAGAGGTCCTACTCGTCAGTCGTAAGGCCGAACAGGGCATAGGGTGACAGCCTGTGCTGGACGGGGTGACACTCCCCCTGAAGATGCAGGTTCGCAGCTTGGGAGTGATCCTGGACTCATCGCTGAGCCTGGAAGCCCAGGTCTCGGCGGTGGCCGGGAGAGCTTTTGCACAATTAAAACTTGTGCGCCAGCTGCGCCCGTACCTTGGGAAGTCAGACTTGGCCATGGTAGTCCACACTCTGGTTACATCCCAAATAGATTACTGCAACGCACTCTACATGGGGCTGCCTTTGAAGACTGTTCGGAAACGTCAGTTAGTTCAACGGGCGGCAGCTAGATTACTAACCGGGGCAACATACAGGGAGCATACCACCCCCCTGCTATGCCAGCTCCACTGGCTGCCGGTCCATTTCCGAGCCCAATTCAAAGTGCTGGTTTTGACCTATAAAGCTCTATATGGTTATGGTCCAGCTTACTTGTCCGAACGCATCCACTCCTACGTCCCACCTCGCAATTTAAGATCATCTGGGGAGGCCCTGCTCTCGCTCCCATCAACAATGCAAATGCGGCTGGTGGGGACGAAGAGCAGGGCCTTCTCGGCTGTGGCCCCCCACCTATGGAACACACTCCCAAAGGAGGTAAGATCTGCTCCCTTGCTCCAGACCTTTAGAAAAAAAATTAAAATCATAGTTCTGGGACAATAGATGTATGCAGCTTTTCGTGGGACAAGGACTGGAACGGCAACTTGACTGATGAGATTGTTTTATGGTTTTATTAACTGTTTTGATATTTGGGGATGTACTGTTTTTTAATATGATTTATGTTTAAAGTGTGGTTTTACTATTGTAGTTGTAAGGCATTGAATTTTTGCCATTATCTATGTGTAAACCGCTATGTGAGTCCCCCCAGGGGTGAGAAAAGCAGTATATAAATGCTGGAAATAAATAATAATAATAATAATAATAATAATAATAATAATAATAATAATAAATTCTGATGGTCTTTGGTGACCCCTTTGGCACCCCCTTGCGACCCCTCCAGGAATCCCGACCTCCAGGTCGAGAAACACTGTTGTTGTCCATTCAGATTTATTGAATGTGAAATCACAAAATGTCTTGGGTTGTTTTTTGTACCAAATCCATTCCAACAACCTTTTCCCTGGTTTATATGTCTTAACTACCATAAACAGAGTCCAAATATTTGCCACCATGACTGTGTCCATAGGAACGTGGCTCCAAGTGCCACTTGTGTGCTTGAATAAATAATCCTAAAAGCCAATGGCATCGGGCTACGATGAGAGGAGGGTGAAGGAGATTAGCAGTAGGATCCCACGCCTCTTCAGAAGCAACTCCCTCTCGATTCACCTGGGCGTACTACTTGGGAAATGGGTCCAACGGCACCTCCTAATCTGAAACCCTTGAGGTGTGTTGTGCTCCCAAATGGGGAGGGAGAGCCAAGACTCCAGAGGACAGGAGCAGGATTCAAAGGGATCTTGACAGATTAGAGAGATGATGGGCCAAAACTAACAAAATGAAGTTCAATGGGGACAAATGCAAGAGACTCCACTTAGGCAGAAAAAAACGAAATGCAAAGATACAAAATGGGGGACGATGAGGCCTGGCTTGAGAGCAAGACGTGTGAAAAAGATCTTGGAGTCCTCGTGGACAACAAGTTAAACATGAGCCAACAATGTGATGTGGCGGCAAAAAAGCCAATGGGATTTTGGCCTGCATCAATAGGAGCCTAGTGTCTAGATCTAGGGAAGTCATGCTCCCCATGCTCTGTTCCGCCTTGGTTAGACCACTTTACCTGGAATATTGTGTCCAATTCTGGGCACCACAATTGAAGAGAGATATTGACAAGCTGGAATGTGTCCAGAGGAGGGCGACTAAAATGATCAAGGGTCTGGAGAACAAGCCCTATGAGGAGCGGCTTAAGGAGCTGGGCATGTTTAGCCTGAAGAAGAGAAGGCTGAGAGGAGATATGATAGCCATGTATAAAGATGTGAGAGGAAGCCACAGGGAGGAGGGAGCAAGCTTGTTTTCTGCTTCCCTGGAGACTAGGACGCGGAACAATGGCTTCAAACTAGAAGAGAGGAGATTCCATCTGAACATGAGGAAGAACTTCCTGACTGTGAGAGCCGTTCAGCAGTGGAACTCTCTGCCCCGGAGTGTGGTGGAGGCTCCTTCTTTTGAGGCTTTTAAACAGAGGCTGGATGGCCATCTGTCAGGGGTGCATTGAATGCAATATTCCTGCTTCTTGCGAGGGGGTTGGACTGGATGGCCCATGAAGTCTCTTCCAACTCTATGATTCTATGATTCTAGCCCCATGGCCCCCAGGAAGTGAGCGTCAAGGATTGTTGGCTTAGTTCAACTCAACATCAGGACTGAAAATGTGAATGGCGTTTTATGTTATGGTTTTTGCGCCTGGCTCTGGTGGATGGACCTCGGGGCAACATTCTCAAGTTTAAAGTTTCTCAACCTGGGGGTTGGGACCCCTGGGGGGGAGGGTCGCAAGGGGATGCCTGAGGGATCACCAAGGACCACCAGAAAACACAGTTCTTTCTGTTGGTCATGGGGTTTCTGTGTGGGAGTTTTGGCCTAAATTCTACCATGGTAAGCTCAACTCATCCTCAGTGCCTTGTAGAACCTGGCTAGGGTTCAAATCCTAATTCAGCCGCTGGGTGACCTTGGACAAGTCACACCCTCTCAGCCTCAGAGGAAGAGCATGGCAAACCCATGCCAAGAAGAATCCTGTGATAAGTTTGCCTTCGGGTTGTCATAGGCTGGAAATGATTTGATGGGACACAATGACAACAGGAAAGAGAAGGTGACAATGTGACAATTTATCCCCCCCCCCCCACCTTTCCTCAACAAGTCTTAAACAGAGCCTGGGATGCGTAGTCAATGTTCAAACCGCTCCATCAGATCTCTACTCTTGCAAACGTATCTCCACCCTTGACTCACCAACTGAACTTTGTATATCCTTATTGTTCAGAATATTGCAGCGGAAGAGCATTATTTAACTGGAATGAGCAAATCATTCCTGATGTACCTTTCCTTACACTCCTGACACATAACCTACAGTGTTATGCCCACTGGATTAAACCACTGAGCTGCTAAACTTGTTGACCAAAAGGTCGCAGGTTCGATTCCAGGGAGCGGTGTGAGCTCCCACTGTCAGCCCCAGCTGACATAATCAACCCCCCCCCCCATCCCCACCAGTATTCAAATGTGGGCGTATCGGGTATTTGTGCCAAATTTGGTCCAGTGAATGAAAATCCATCCTGCATCTCAGATATTTACATGACRATTCATAACAGGAGCAAAATGACAGTTATGAAGCAGCCACGAAAATAATGTTATGGTTGGGGGTCACCACAACATGAGGAGCTGTATCAAGGGGTCTCGGCATTAGGAAAGTTGAGAAACACTGCTTCAGAAGGTGACAATAAACACCTGTCACCAGGTGCCATTGCAACCAAACACGAATTATTAAGAAAGTTGCAAATTTGCCCTCTTAGTCTTAACAAATTCCTTTCTTTATTGGTATTAATACAAACGAGGCAAGTTAAAACTGAACGTCCAAAGCACGATACCAACATATTTTAAGTGCAGGAGTCGCTTGGAGAAAAGTCCCACAAAGTATGCCGTTTGGAATTTTTCTCTGAAAGTATAGTATTTTCATTTAAATTGTTAATTAGATTGTCAGCATTGAATGCCAATTTAGCGGCCGGGGGGGGGGGGGGGGGGAGATATTCTCTAGGCAATTATTAATGACTGGTAGAGTATCACAGCTGACGATGAGTCAATAATTCACGTGTATTCAGCGTCTTCCTGGACTTGCTGCAGCGACCTTGCACAAGCCGGGCTTCACCTGGGAGGAGAGAGGGCTCTGTGGCTTATCTCTAGGCTGGAAGAATGGCAGCACCGAACCCACACAGTGTCCTGGTGACCGGCTCCAACCGTGGCCTTGGCTTAGAGCTGGTCAAGCAACTGGCGGAGGGAAAGAACCCCCCGAGAAAGATCTTTGCCACCTGCCGAGACCCCGAGGGAATCCGTGCTCAGGTGAGCTCCAGGGTGGAGTCAGCTCTGTGAGGACCAGAGGATGGCATTAAGCGAGGGACTTCTGGGGACCTCATCCCAGGAGCATCTTCTGGGGTGGCCATCATCCCATCTCCTTTCCCTCTCTTTCCCTGTTTTCAAGATGAATAGTACCCGACTCCTGAAGATGTATTCAGTGGATACAGAGTCCCACGGAAGGGCCCTTAGGCCATTCTTTGTGTGTCAGAAGTGAACGGAGAAACTGCAAGTCGCTTCTGGTGTGAAAGAATTGGCCATCTGCAAGGACGTTGCCCAGGGGGCATTGCCCAGATGTCTGAACGCATCTCCCTTGACGAACCACTGCGGAAACATTTCTAGAGAGACAAAAAGAGACAGCACAGATGGCATTCAGCTAGGATAGCTACTAAAAACGCCGAGCTAATTGGGAGACACCCTAGCACCTCCTGTGTGGGGAATTCAGAGCTATAAATCAGACTTTCTTCTAGGGAGGCCCTGCTCTCGGTCCCGCCACCATCACAGGTGCATTTGGCAGGGACGAGAGACAGGGCCTTCTCCATGGTGGCCCCCCAGCCATGGAACTCCCTTTCTGGTGAGATTAGATCAGCCCCCACCCTCCTGTCCTTCAGAAAGATGGCGAAGATCTGGCTGTGGGACCAAGACTTTGGGGCAGTGCAGTGAGAGGCAAAATGGGGTCCTGAGATGGTCTTTAAGCAACTTTTAATGTGAATATAAGCTATTTTAATGTTTGTATATATTTATGGTTTTATGTCCCAGCATTGAATGTTTGCCGTAAATAAATGTTGTGCTCTGCCCTGAGTTCCCTGAGTCGGCAGGGTGAGAAAGGCGGAATATAAATGTTTTAAATAAAATAATAAATAAATTTTACCACCCTGTGGGAGGCTCATCTCATTTCCCTGGATGGGAAGCTGGGGCTGACAGATGGGAGCTCACCCTGCTCTCCAGATTCAGACCGCCAACCTTTCGTCCATCAGTCCTGCCGGCATAAGGGTTTAACCCATTGCGCCACTGGTGACTCCTCCGTCATGCCATGTCATGGCCTCGGTGGGACTCTGCTTCCAAAGCACATAGAAATGGAGTCCAGATTGAGTGTGAAAATAATTTGACAGCATCTCCTTATCTCCCTGATGTTTGAGGCAGGATTCTTCTATCATAGGCCAGTCAAGGATTCTTAAATCCATGTACAGGAGAGTCTCACTTATCCAACATAAACAGGCCGGCAAAACATTGGATAAGACAAAATGTTGGATCATAAGGAGGGATTAAGAAAAAAGCCTATTAAACGTCAGATTACATTATGATTTTACAAATTAAGCACCAAAACATCATGTTTTATAACAAATTGACAGAAAAAGCAGTTCAATACAGTTGTTGTGTCTCAGAATAAGATTCACCTTGCTCTCTACAACAAACCAGCCAGAGTTGTGAGGTATATAGTTTATTGTGAGGTTTTCAAACAAAAGGCAGTTCATAAGCAGTGAAAAGATCAATAGTACAGGTTATAATCCAATATAATCCATATTGCCCAAAGCAGGAGACTTGAAGCAGAGGTTCAGTGTAAAGTCCATGAAATAGCATGAAATAGCATGAAGCCTGAAGCAGCCTTTCCCAAGGCCCTGAGCTGGAGCTAGCCATAAAACAACGTTGAAACTGACACCGAGAAATCCCCAGAGCAGAGCATATATTCACTAAACATCAAAACAATCAGCTTTCCCACCAAACTGATGATCTCAACACTTGGCCGCAATCCGTGGGCTCCGTCTCAACACCTGGGCACCTTGACCCTGGTTCTCAGCGTCTGCCTTATCAGCCGCATTCCTTTCCTGTGAGAACAGCGGCCTCTCTACAGATACAGGCTGTGACTGAGAAAACTGAAAGCCAACTTCATCAGCTGCACTCTCTGCACTCTCACTCTCATCCCCATCATGCTGTTGTTGTTGAACCACAACAACAGTAATCCTTTGCTACTTTGCGGTTCGCGTTTCATGGGCTCGCTGTTTCACGGTTTTTACTTTCAGAAAGGGAGGCTGGAGTGTGGGCTGGGGTGCAGCGGGGAAGGCCTGCTGGCCATCAAGTGTGGACGATTGCACTACTGTGGCCTGGGAAGTGGCTCCAGAGGCATTTATTGGGTGGGTAAGGAAGCATGAGGGCCAGACTGCGCATGCGTGCGTGAACGCTTCTTAGATATGCCCAATGGAAGTGGAGCACTTTCTAAAAGTTGCTGCTCAATTAAAGCGACTGAAGGGTTTTGTTTATAAGGTAAAGGAAAAGGGTTATATAGTGTATAAGTGTGTGGGGAGGGTTTATAAAGACTGAATACGGCACTGGCCCAGCATACCTGTCCGAACACATCTCCTTCTATGTCCCGCCTAGGAATTTAAGATCTTCTGGAGGGGCCCTGCTCTCGGCTCCACCCTTGTCACAAATGAGACTGGCGGGGACGAGAGACAGGGCCTTCTCAGTGGTGGCCCCCCGCCTGTGGAACTCACTCCCCAGGGAAATTAGATCATCGTCATCCCTCCTCCCTTTTAGAAGGAAATTAAAAACATGGATATGGGACCAGGCCTTTGGGTAATCTGGCAGACTGACAATGGACAATGACGACTAAAGCTTTGGAAACGGACTATGATAAGCGGAATGAATTTATTAATTACGGACTTGGCAAAACGATGGCCACCAGGCTGGCTTTTTATTGTATTTTTATTGTATTAATGTAATGTTTTAATTGTTATAATTATTGTTACTATGTATTTTATTGTGTGAATTGTAGGCATCAACGTATGCCGGTTGGAAGCTGCCCTGAGTCCCCCTTAGGAGGTTGAAAAGGGCGGGGTAGAAGTACCCGAAATAAATAAATAAATAATAAAATTAAAGTAGTGTATAACTGCCCTGAGTTGCCCTTCAAAAACAGCCTTTAGACAATGTTGAAAGTAAAAGAAAAATGCTTTACTTCAGCAAACACAAAGGATAAGCAAATGCAATTGAAAAGCGTAACAGAAAACAAGGAAGTCTTAATGCAGACACAAATTAAAGTCTCTTACAAGGTCCCACAAGAAACACCAGTCTTTCATCAGACAACGGGCAATGAACTAAGCCTTAGCAGCAGACACAAAAAAGATTCAATTGGACTGAAAACAGCAGTATCAGGGTCGTTACCAGCGAAAGCTGACTGCTCGTGCCTCTGATTTATAGCTCTGAATTCCCCATGCAGGAGGTGCTAGGGCGTCTCCCAATTAGCTCAGCATTTTTAGCAGCTATCCTAGCTTAATGCCATCTGTGCTGTCTCTTTTTGTCTCTCTAGAAATGTGGACACTTTCAAACCCTCGTCATCTGATTCTTCTTCTCCCTCCAATTACTGAGTACTTCCCTGCTCCCCTTCCTCTTCCGAAGATGAGGAATCCCCAACAATAACTACTAAAATAATTACTTACTTACTTCGGCGATCCCTCGCTTTCCGAGGATGATTGTCTTCCAATATTCTTGTGGGTCCGTATGTGGCTGTGGAGCCCTATTCTTGCTCTGCTTCTTCTTCCGCAGTGAGGGCATTGGTTTCCAGGTGGAAGGCGGTCTCGGCCGGGGTTGGCTTGACGCGCCTTCCTCTTGGCACGTTTCTATTTTTCACCCTCCACTCGTGCCTCCTCAAATTCTGCAGCACTGCTGGTCACAGCTGACCTCCAGCTGGAGCGG